AGAGAGAGAGAGAGAGAGAGAGAGAGATTTGGCAAAAATGCATAAACTTGGTATGGCTTTAAGCCTAACTTGAATATAAAATTTGTTTAGAATTGTATTTGTATCTTGAGAATTAACAAACGATGTAAGAATTAGTTCATAACTGAAACCATTTTAATATTTTTCAGAACCACTGATAGTTCCATTCGATATATTATAAGAACTGGCATTTGCTATTTTTTTTCAAGGGCCAGATTATAATATGACACGCCAGATACATCAAAATAGATCCTTTCATTATAAGCATTGGATCTAACGCCAAATGTTGTGTGTGCACTGAACCGTACTTAATTATAGATACATTAATAACACACATAAGGACCATACAGCTGAGAACTTCAAGAGACCAAACGCTGAATCTCTTGAGATCGTTTGCGACTTCAGAAGGAAACAAAAAAATAAATGCCTGGAATGAGCAAGTAGCCCGTTCTTGCTTTCAATCTATACATAATCCATTGATCACACAATAGATATACACAGATAATAGTTTCTCATTAATCACAGATATGCACTGCACCTCACTTTACACTCTGAGACAAATTATATCTCAATGACCCAACACAAAGGCCTAACTTGTACAAAGAGCAGAATCAAAAACCTCATACGAATGAAAAAACAAATATCTAAGACCACAGGAGCCTCCGTAGCAGATAGAGAAAGAGAAAAAAAAAATTCTTACATCTCGGACAATGTGAGAAGGTAAAATCACACCATCAGTTCAAAACATACCGTCAATACTTCGTCAGATCCAATTTCTTCTCCACCATAGGCAAAGAGCTGACCACCTTGCCCATTCTGAGCTTTATTATGACCCCAGCGAAGAACAATAACAGGAAGCCTTGAATCTCCAGATGATAGCTGTATCTTAACCACATCATTTGATTGCGGAGTTCTCATACTTTTTCCATTGTGTGGAACTGATAGGTTCCACAGCAATATATCTCCGTCCACGTAACCTACGGCTAATACTGAGCCATCCGGAGATACCCAACAGAGAGAGCTTATTTCTTTTTGGGTTTCTTCATTATCTAATGAATCGTTTATGAAGGTATGGCTCTTGTCATCTGAGAAGTTCACAATGGTTCCCCCTTTAAGTTGCAGATCATTATAGCCTTTAACTTGCACAGCTTTATCTTGAGTGACATCCCATAGAATAATCAATCCATTCTCGTACGCAATCAAAACCCTATAGTGAAGCAGACATAGATATTGTTGAGTAACGTTGTTTTCATGAATATGTCTGTCAATGATGCATAGAGTATTGCATAGATATAGAGAGAATTCATGGTGATATATATATATATATATATATGTATATATATATGTATATATATATATATTCAGATCTTACAAGTATAATTGGTTGTCTTTTAACCTATGTCGGTATTGGAAGATAGTGACATATCAGTCTTCCAGAAAAATATATACAAATTTTGAGGAACAGTTCCGTCCATATCAAAAGATTCGCACATATATTTTTGAAACCTCAAAAAACCAAATGAGTTTGGTTATCATGCTCCTCCAGCACTCATCCAATGTTTCTTAAAATTTTATGGATTGAGTTTGACCTCCGTGTTAAGCAACATAAAGCAAACAAGTGTGATGGACTGACGAGTAAGTCTAAGAGTGAATAGCAAGGTTCGGAACACAATAAATTATGTTTTCGAAATGTATGCTTTATCTATTACCTGTCCCCACCTGAACAAGGTTGGTTCAGCACACCGACAATGGACAGATGATCAGGCAATGAAACCCCCGCTCCTTCTACAAAATCAATGAGATGAGATAATTTTTCGTAAGACAAACTTTAACATCTGCTCTGCATTCAAGCAAATGATAGTTAATAATTATAATAACAAAGATCAGAAATTAAGTATCAATAAAAGTAGAGCAAGTTAGTCCGTGAAACAATTGCAATGATACTCTGTGACTACTCAAGCATAAAGTGTAATAGAGAAAAACTATACAAAGAGTAAAGATTGTCTACATTTCAACAAGGTAGTCCATCACTTGTCCCTTCATTCAATTACAGAAGGATCTCATAGGATTTCATGACAATAATAATAACTCAATAATACAAATATGTAACAAATGGTTATCAAGAGATCCAGTTACCAGCAATAAGGTTTGGAGGAACATGGTATGGTAATTGAAGAAGATCCTCTTCTTCAGCATCATACTTGAGCACAGACAGAAAACCATATTCATCCCCGACATACCTAAGGCTCCCAAAGAGGACAAAAAGGAGTTAATTCATGTCTCAGGCAATTCACTTTAGGCTGAAAACCAAGCAGCTATGGTCACACACACACACACACACAAGGTTGAATTCCGGTGAGAATGAGTCCATAGGTGAGAAATAAGAATATATTACAGTGCATAGTGATATTGAACAGCACAAAAACATTACTGCATAACATGCAAAACCAATGGCATCATTTTCATAAAAATTATATCACTACAAACATGGACAAGTGCTGTTGAACATCACAATACAGAAATCTCATTGTTGAGCTACGTTCTCATTTCTCACGTAAGGTTCATTCTCATATAATCCTGATATTTTATATTTCGTGTAACATTGTCAATCTCTTACATGTAATTGGTTCCGGAGACAACAGAGAATGCAGTTATATTAGACTCCCATTGCATATTAGATGATATACGCCTCTTGACGAGATCCCATACCTGACAAAGTCATGCAAACATAAACAGATTATTTGAACCCGCAAGTAAACAAACAGAAAGAGTATCAGGCATTAAAAGGAAATAAAAATATATTTGTTTTTCAAGCAGAGATTAACAATTTCATGAAAAGAACAAAAGAATTTGTTGGTGATAAGTTGGATCCAATACCTGGATTTCATTCTCATAGGAGACACTCACTAGAAAACCTTGGTTTTGCAGGAACTGTGAAGAGAAAGAGCCCAAACTTAATGAAAAAATATAAATTAAGCTCTTGCTCGATAAAAGCAATAACTTCAGCCAGTTATTTCAATAAAAAACTAATTTTTTCTTGCTCTAGCCACTGATATTTGATATAATATCTGAGACAAATCTTGAATAACAAGAACCCCTTTCACCATTTACGAATGGGAAAGAAAACAGCAACTTCAACATAAATTCATTGAACTTGGGACAAGAAAAGCATATGAAATTATGGAAAGATAAGAGAGACTAACTGAGGTATATGTACAAAAAGCTAAGATGGATAAAATCGAACTCCTCACACAAACTGTGACAAACCTCTAAGTTCTTAAATGGTACGGCTTTGAAAGATGTAAGAAGACCTTCAATGTTATCACCTCCAACCACTTTAATCCTGCCATCCCTGCAATCACGTTCAATAAAAGAATAAAAGAGAAAGAATCACCAAATTGCACGCAATAGTAATCAATTTATAATACCACCATCCATCTACATCCAAATTTTCTATTTCTCAACCCTAAGAATAAAAACTAGTGATGACAAATTACAGCAGTGGGAATAATTTAAACCGAAAATGTAAACTTGTAAGATACCAGCAAAAGAAAACTGTGTATATTGAAACACGTGTAATCACTTAACAATAAATGTGATGATGCCCGGGTTATGTTTTCTTATTTGACATTAGTAACCAGCTTTTAAACATCAGAGTCAGGAAGCTTTACACCAAGGTGAAATATACATTTGCATGCATGCACCAACATACACTAGTTTTCCGTCCTCCGTTGATGAACTTTAGTTACTATTGAGATGAAACCAAATATTTGACATATATTCACGCAACAAGGACTTTGAACTCACAATGTCCCTACTGCTAGGAGGCTTTGGATGGGATCGTAAGCAAGAATTGATGCAGTTGATGGAATGCCATAGTGAACGACAACGACTGGTGCCAATTCTGATGATGTCATGCTTTGTTGTGTAACATCTGGCTGAATAACATAGCAAACAATCAACACCCGAAACCAAACTCTAGCAGAAATAGCTAATCGGAAGATAAATTGCAATTATGCCAGCTACTAATCAGAATTGGCACTAATGCCATAACTAGTTCTGTTTTGATTTGAAGAAAATTGGCGAGATAGCAACTTCAAACTTCACGAAAATAAACCATATTCCAAGACAGCTAAAATGGGCATTCAATTTTATGTACATCTCGTAACGGTGAATCGAAAGCTCACGATCAAGAATTCAATTCCTCTTCAGAAAACGAAAGGCGACGGTTTACTTATACCCACTTTACTAACAAGTGAATCGAAATTCTATAATTATCACAAAGTAATTGAATGAAACTCAATCATGAAAGTACCGAACGCTCGAAGCATCAAAGTAAAGCTTATGACGTGCAAGAAATATGTCAAATAAACAAGAGAAAAATTTAAAACAAAATAAACATTTTTCTCGAGTTTACCTGGGAAGAACGGTTGGTTGCGACTGGATTGGGTTTTTTAAACAACAAGCGTTATCTATATAGGGTAATTTATTTAAAAAAAAAATTGAAAAATAAGTGGACAAAAAAGAGAAAAAAAAGGGGTAGACCGAAATCGAAAGCACGTATTCACAAAATACGTTTTCCTAATTTAATTTTTTAGTGTAAAACGTATTCTTTGAATACGGTTTTTAATTGAATTTGTTTAATTATTTGAAAAACATATTGCCGAAAAAATGTAAATCCAATTTGAATTTGAAACCGTATTTACAAAATACGTTTTATGAAAACCCTAATTTTGATTTGAAAATTCCAAATTAATTTGAAATCAATTTAGGTTTTTTAAACCGTATTCCATTAATACGGTTTTTATATTAATTAATTTTTAAGAAAAATTTAAATTAAAATAAAACGTATAAAGGAAATACGTTTTCTAATATAATTAAAAAATTAAAAACATATTGACAAAATACGGTTTTTAACAAAATATAAGTAAAAAAAATCTTCTCCTCCACCCCACTGCGCGATCTACTGAAGCTGCCTTCTGCGAGAACCAAAAATAAAATCACTTCCTTCCATTTTCTCTTCATCTCAAAATAAAAAAAAATTTAACAATCAATCGATTCGGAGAAGAGGTTAGTTGTTAATTTAATGTAATGTAATTACATATTTTTTTGTGTTTATGAATTTGTAAGAAATATTTGTTGGTTTTGATGAGTATAGTTTAGAAAAGATATATTGTTGATTTAATAGTTGTCTTAAATGATTATACATTGTTCTTGGATGATGGGTTTCGGTGTATGTTGAGAATTTTTGCGATAATTGGATGATTTGTATTGTATAGTTGGATTTTGAGAATTAGGGTTTTGGAGAGTTATTTTATAAAAGAATTGGCGATTTTTTTTTGTTATTGTAGTATTAATTGAAAATATTTATCTTGATTTGAGTAAAAGAATAATTGAATTTTTTGAGAAATTATGTGTTGTTGTAATTGGGAAGAATTGAAAGTGTATTATATGTTATTGATGAATTTTATTCTTTTGTTGTGGGAATGATAAAAGAATAATTGATTTTTTTGGGTGTTGTGTTAGAAAGTATGTGTTGTTGTAATTAGGAAGAATTGTTTTTTGCAACAGGTATAAATGACGTCTACCGGACCATACTTTGTTAATGTGTATTGGAATCTTCTCAAGGAGTTGTTATATGATTTTTCAGATTTTAAAAACTCTCCGGATGGTTCATTTAGCATTGGGGAGAAGCTATCATTTAAAGAATTGGTAGATATTCTTTATGAAAATTTTGGGTTTCATCGAGATGGTTGGATAATTGAGAAGATTAGTTTACTGAGTAACGAACGCGATGGTTCGTGGAATATTGGAAACCTGAATACTAATAGTGTTGTTGATTGATATATAATTTTCCTCCTTTCTCCTATGTGTATTTGCATTTGGAGTTGAAGCAGTTTACGCAGGCACCTACAGAGGTTACGCAGTTTGAGGATGTTGCCCCTTTTTACGGTGGAGTGGCTGATAATGAGGGTACGTCCACTTCGCATGTTCATAATTTTGGCGAAGGGACAAGCTCAACAGTTAGAGAATGCGATAATGAGGAAGAAAGTGATCATGATTTCATTCGCGGTGAAGACGATTTCACAGATGGTACCTCGGAAACGGAAACGGATAGATCAATAAACGAGGAGAGTGAACCAGAATTTATTGAAGAACACCCATTTCCTAATAGCGGTAAGCACGTGTATCGCGAGATGGGTGAGTGGGACCCGTCGTGTGTAGACTGGGATGAGTATGCCTTGCCAACCTGGAATGGGAATGTCGAGACTATCCGTTTGGGTACTGTTTTCCGGTCCAAGGGAGAAGCACAGATTGGTATCATGAGTTGGAACGTTAGCAGGTTGAGGGAGGTTAAGACAACCTATTCGAATAAGAAATCATTCAAGGTGGTGTGCACGTCCAACGAAGATGAACCTTGTCCGTGGAGGGCTCGGGTGACGCACTGCACACGAGTTCATGAACTGTGGGAAGTAACGGAATGGACTGCGAGGCACAGTTGTGTGCAAGAAGTCGAAAAAAATGACCACATAAATGTAACCACCACAATGATCTCAAATCTTGTCATGACCAAGATTCAAAAGAAGCCCGACTATAGTGTTACCCTGATCCAGGAGGATGTTAAAAAATGTTGGAAAGTCGATGTGAGCTACAAGAAGGCATGGCACGGGAGGAAAAAGGCCATCGATCGTTTGTATGGCACTTGGGAATCGAACTTCGCCGAACTCCCTCAGTAAGAAAAAATTTATTAAAAATGTACGTGTTATTTGTCACTGTATTTATGTATTGACGATTACGTTTTGTAACGTGCAGATTTTTTTGCGGCGCTTCAAAGAGCGAATCCCACTACGGTTGTAGAGTGGGAATGGCAAGGTGGGGAAATGGCGGCCTACTATCAGCACAGAGAATTCAAATTTGTTTTCTGGGCGTTTGGTCCCGCCATTCAGACCTTCCAGAGATGCCCTCCGGTAATTAGCATGGACGGCACACATTTGCGTGGCTCGTACAAGGGGAAATTGCTCGTGGCCGTTGCACAGACTGCGAATAAGCGGCTATTGCCAATCGCCTATGCGATTGTCGATGAAGAGAGCCAGGAAAGCTGGTCATTTTTCCTGACAAATCTCCGGCAACATGTTGTCGGCGACAGACAGATATGCTTTCTTTCGGACAGGGATGCAGGCTTACAGAGTGCTGTGGAATCATTGGAAGCTTGGCAAGAACCCGCTGCATATCACCGGATTTGTCTTTGACACCTTCGAAGCAACGTGGTTACTAGGTTCAGGAATAACAAAATCCGAAATTGGTGTTGGGAGTTGGGTTCACAGGTTTCAGAGAAAAAATTTGAACAGATACGATCGCGGCTTTCGGATTTTAATCCGGACGCATACGAGTACCTGTTCAGAATTCCTCTAGACAAGTGGACCTTGTTTGGAGACGGAGGACGTAGATGGGGTACTTTGACAACCAACATGTCCGAGAGTTACAACAACGTCCTGAAAGGTGTTAGGTTCTTGCCCTGCCGAGCTTTGGTACACGCCACATTCATGAAAACTCTGGACTTGTTTGAGCAGGAACAAAAGAAGTCCACGATATGCAGTAATGCCATTGCTAGTGCCCACTATGCTGCTTATTGCGAATTGGAGGCTACGGCTGCAACTCATGAGGTGCGATGTTCGAACGCAGAGAGATCCCTGTACAAGGTGATAACCGGTCTACGGGCTGATGGTAGAGGCGGCAAAAGGTATACGGTTTATTTATTTATTGTATAATTTATTTTTTTTTTATTTTGGTTCATTCAAATTTTTAGTTGTTTATAAATATATCTAAATGTGGAAAAACAGGTATAAGGTTTCGTACAACCGGATGCGTTGTAGTTGTCAGAAGTGGCAGACACACAGGAAACCATGCTCTCATGCTATAGCTGTGTGTCGTCAAATAAAAGGTCAACCAAAGTTATTGTACGATCCCCACTTTTGGACGGAGAACTGGGTGGCTCAATTTTCTAATTGGAGTTTTGCTCCGATTGGTGATCCAGACACATGGCCGCTAGTCGGATGGAACTTACTACCAAATTGGCTGAGGATCATCACGAAGGCTGGACCCGGTCGCGCGCAAACGAAGCGTCATCGCATGCAAATGGATCGTCGGGCACGCCGCCGGGCTGATAGAGGACAGTGTAGTAGATGTGGTAATCCACAGCATTTTGTGGATGACTGTCCGTCCTCGCATCCTTGCACTGATAGATCTAGAGTCCGTGATGAGTGGGGAAACTAGATTTGTTAGTGTTTATTTTTTTTATGTTGGACTATTTTTTTTATTGTTTACTTTGATTTGTTAGACTATGTTTGGATGATATATTTTTGTTATGTTGGACTGCATATGAGTTTATTTGTTTATGTATTTTGGTGTAGTTGGTTGTTCTGAATATTTGTAAGAGGTTTTAAATGCTGAAACAATTGAAAGAACAAGTTTTTTTTTTTATAACAGCTTAAAACGTATTTAGTAAATACGTTTTTAAAATAATACATATTAGAAAACGTATTTGCTAAATACGTTTTCAAAGAATTCATATTTATTTAGAAACCGTATTCCCTGAATACGGTTTTAAAATAATTCGTATTAGAAAACGTATTTAGCAAATACGTTTCCTTAAGAATAAAAAAACGTCAAAAATGGTAGGAGGATCCCAGATTCGGGACTCGAACCAGGGTGGGCGAGTCCGTTATCTATGGGCGCACTTCGTTACCATTGGGCCACACTAGGCTATCGCTGAAAGTTTTGCACAACTTTTGTTGTTATCCTTCAACTTCAAAATTTTTTATAGTATATAATATTGTTAATATATTGTATATACATATATATTATAATTTGACATATAGTATATATCATATAGTAGTATATAGTATATATATTATATAGTATATATATTATATATTATATACTATATAGTATATAATTGAGTTCGATTGTACAATTAAACTCAATTATAGTACAATTAAACTCGAATATAGTGAAATTGAACTCGATTATAGTGAAATTGAACTCGAATTAGTACAATTAAACTCGAATTAGTATAATTGAACTCGAATTAGTACAATTAAACTCGAATTAGTACAATTAAACTCAATTATAGTGAAATCGAACTCGAATTAGTACAATTAAACTCGAATTAGTACAATTAAACTCGATTATAGTGAAATCGAACTCGAATTAGTACAATTAAACTCGATTATAGTAAAATCGAACTCGAAGTAGTATATAGTATATAACATATAGTATATACTATATAGTATATAGGATATAATATATAGTATATAGTATATAACATATAGTATATAGTATATTGTATATAGTATATAGTATATAGTATATAACATATAGTATATAGTATATTAACATA